AAAACCTGGCAGCTGACACCGACTGCTTATTAATGTCAGACTGCACTCTCACCACTTTCCACGTACTGGCTCACTTGCTTCTCCCAATCTAATGAGAACACTACTGTCATTATCACATGGAAAAACTGAGGCACGGGGGGGTTTAGTAACTTTTCTGAAACTATGTGGTAAATCCAGGATTTAAATTTAAATCGGGCAGTGAGCTGGAGGTGGTGGCATGTGCCTGTAAAGCTTGGCACATGGGAGGCTGAGGCAGGAGGAGCACCACTAATTTGAGGCCAGTCTGAAATAGCTACATAGTGAGACTGTCTCAAAACAAACAAAAAGCAAAACAACAACAACAACAACAACAAAAACTCCACACATTTCAGGCATTATTGTCACCAAAGTCCATGTTCTTGATTTTTTTGTATTTTAGGGAAGGGTCTACAGGGTGTTCAGGGTCTCACTACTAGATTGGACTCGTAGCGATCCGCCTGTTTACAGCCTCCCAAGAGTTTACAGAGATTACAGGAGTGCGCCACCACACCCAGTCTCAACTGCCATCTCAGGGTGCCATGGGGGCAGGGCTGCTCTAATCTACTGAGCTATTTGGCTGGCCCTCCAAAGTCCATGTTCTTAGCCACTGCTTTACGAAGTTTATTCACTACATGCACTGTCTCTAAAAGGATATACAGAGCTGGAGACCAGGAATGAGGCTGGGGTGGTGGGTTGACATAATGCACTGGACAACTTTATAACTTGTAATAAGCTGATGGGGAGGAGGCTGAGCAGAGGTATGAGAGAAGCGAGTAGGAGGCAATTTAAGTACAGTGAACAGGAATGGATCATTTCGGGCCGGCAAGATAGCTCAATGGACTAAGCACCTGTTTAGGCAAGCTCAGGGACCGTTTGATCCCAGCAGCACTTGCTACACCGTCCTTGCCCCCAGGCGTGATGAACCAGCAGCCCAGTCTGGGCATGGTAGCGCATGCCTGTAATCCCAGCGCTGAGGAGGCTGAAAACAGGAAGATGACTAAATCAGATTTGGGTAGTGAGACCCTGCACAAAGAAAAGGAACAGGCCATTTGAGAGCTGGAGAGATAGCTCAGTGGGACAGTGCCTGCCCAGCAAGTGCAAAGTCCTGAGTT